CCATCTTGCAGTTTAATTTTTTAACAATTTTATTTCATTAATTCCGTGCTGTGTCACACCAGAAGCAGCCACTAAGGAATTTTTCTCAGAAATTTTATTTGTCATACTGTTGTGCTGTTTCATGTTTTGAAAATAAATAACTTAGTTGAATTACGACATTGTAAAAGGCAGTTTCATAAGTTGAATTGGAAGGGGCCGTGAATGAGCCTTTTAGTGGAGTACAGTGTCAAAAGAGATTGAAAAATCTCTCAATAAGCCATCAGTGATTAGCTTCTTCATTTTTGTCAATTTTGTCTCATTGTTGAGATCATTTTTTATCAACTCTAGAAGCAAATTCTTACCTCCGTGCCTTTTAATGTTTCTAGGATTTCAAAAGATTGTTCTATTAACCGCTGTACTTCAGCAACGGTTAGTGCCAATTAAATGCGAAATAATGTTGATAAAAATAGTGCAACAGAGCATTTTTAATCGTAATCATTTCATTTTTTTCGCCACTCCTTGTTGCCTCATTTTACTTGTTCTTGCTTCATCTCCAACTTTGTCAGACTTTGCAACAATGTTTCAAAATCCGTACTCTAAACCAAAAAAATTCCATTGTACTGTTACACAAAATTGTTTAGATTTGAGAACAGGGTGACTCCCTTACCTCTGGAACCCACACTTTTTAATACAAATCACTAGCAACCGTTTCAGAAGCATACGCTAAGTTTGAGTGCAAAAAGTGTCTCCTGTTCAGTCGTGATATTGTAAGCTAGGAGAGAGATAGAGTAGAACAACAGGGGGCGTTTATTAGAAAGTCAGGTTCACAGAACTTTACTGACCATAGGTAACGTAAAAAGACAAAGTGTCCGTGTTTTTCATGATCCGGTTTCAAAAATTGAACGTAGTATTGGTTTCGGTAGGGACAGAATCTATGATACTTACAAAATCATACGAAGATTTGACTTAAGAAATTGAAACTACCATGCAACAAAAAGTCGCAGATTTGACGTTAGCAGACAATTCCTAAGGTTGTGACACACTGCCTTGGCTAAAAATGACCAAAACAAGAAAAGCAGAATTTCAATTAAAAAGCAATGTCCTGTGAGTCACAGGTCTTCCAACAGTCCTCTCGCTTAACCGCATCAACACTGATGACTGCGACTTGTCATATATAGCACCAAAGGCCCCCATCCCCATCTTTGTTGGTGCTATAGATTTCCGAAAAATTTTACTATTCCCTCATTGCTTCGCGAATAGCTATCGATAGAAGCCCTATAAGGCTCGCCAAAAAAGTGGAAAAACTCTCAAGTAACCACTTCCGTATCCTGTCTTATTCTTTTTGTATCGCTGTTCAGTTCAAAGTGACAGAAAGTGCAAAATCATTGCTGAATTCCGAAAGGTGCTCAGATCAAAAATTTGTTTCTAGACAAGTAAAAAAATCTGCCGAAAAATCGTGTCAAACTTTTAGACCAATGATGAGCTTCTAATCCTTCAATCTCCAAAATTCAACATTTTAACGGTAGCTTAGAGGAACCGCAAGTAAGTTGCATGAAATACTTCCAACACCCCGTTTTAGATTGAACCTTTTAGAAAAGATCTTCTTGCAGTAAATAAAACGTTGATCCTAGATTCATTTATACCCAAGAAATCTGGTTCGAAATCCCTGGAGATTTCCATGCAGATGAGCAGCAGTAAAGCAAAAAACACCTTATCCTTAAATGCACCTTTAAATCTTTCCTAAATTACTACGCTATTGCAGTCGTACAAACGTTCTCCGGAGTTCCTGATCGGGATAAAGCTTGCAACTGTTCAGAATAACCAATCGAACTTAATGCTAGAAAAGAAGACTAATCAACTGCTCGCAACCCTTTTTAAAAACATGCCAAAAACAAGCATCAAACGTCTCTCCAAAGATATTAAAAATAAACAACTCGCAGATCTCCGTTCCAGGCTCTCTACCGGCTGATAAATTCCAACAGCTTACCACTCTTTCCTTCGAATACCATTCGCCGCTAATAAAACAAAAGCAATTCCATGAAATCAAAAGTGGGGAGCGTAAACAAACACAGATAAGAACAATGTCGTTTTTTTAAGACCAGCCTCCAGTTCTTCCTTCCTAACAAACACTAATCTTGACGTTTGAAACAAAATGTAAGTACAAGAATTAATACAGATTGTTTATTGTCAATACTTCACTTAAGCGCTATACAACATAGTACAGGTAGAGAAGATGCTGTAACAAAAAGATAATAAACAAAGAAAGGAAGACGGAACCTCCTTTCAAGACTACGATGTTCACTCGAGCAATAACCTCGAAGCCACGTAAGCTGGAAGAATTGAAGTTGCAATAGCTAGAACTCCATAGCTCATCTTACACACCACTATATACACTTCACAAATGCACAACAATTGCTCTCAATGTCAAAAAAGAACAAGATTAAAAGTAAAAAAATAAAAAAAACCAACATCACTTCCTACAGGATTCTTGAGCAGAACCGCGCATGAACCCAAACCCTGATACATGAAACATCAAACGAAACAACCGATGGCATTATGCAAAGTCCTCTAATTTGAATGTCGTTGATCCAGCAGGAAATAAATGTGCGGTTTCTCCTTCGTTAACAGTTTTAAAACCTCACAAAAATTGCACGTTAGCAAAGGAAAAGAACATCCTAAAAGTATAATGGCTCAAAACGTCAGAATAAAAAACAATAAATTCATTTACTACCAGAAACGAACAATCATGAAAAAGAAAGAAAAAAACAGAAATTCCAGGTTGAACAAGATTTCCAGAAAGACTTTTTTGAGAAATATTGCAAAGTTTGCAGCTATGAAAGCCCCCATCCAGGACGACTTAACGTCTGGCATACACTCTGCAAACTTACGGCAGTTTACTCTGATGGCAGTCAAAATATTAAATAAGAATAGACTAAGCTGCCTCAGCTAAGAAAATTTGTTTTAAATGTAACGACCACAATATCGTGGCATATTCTACTTTTGAGGTACGCAGAAAAACCGAAAAATGATGCTAAAGTATGCTCAACATTGAAATAATGGAAAGACTAAAAAGTCTTAAAACTAAAAAAAACGAACTCCAATTATGCGAACAGTAAAAGCAATTATCCAAAATGCGGATGATTTTCATTTTGTACGACATTCCATATATAGAAATTCTTCCACTCTTACTGATTCCTACAACATAAAACTGACAGATATAATGCGTTCAATAGAACCAGATCAGAGACTATACAGCAAAAAACCTGTCTTTTAACTGCTTTGACACACTCAAAAATTTTCAAAGAAGAAATTGTCCGAAACTAAGAAGGTTCTGGTTAAATCCAAAATGTGCTTATTTCCCCTCCAAACGATATCAAAGTCGAAAAATAAAGACAATTTTGGAAAAGCAGTTAGGAGACAAATATTATGCTAAAGAACAGGAACTTTCAAAATGACTCAATGAACAATATCACAAAAAAAGAGAGAAATAAATATCGTGAAAGACTTATTTGGAGCACAATTCTCAATTGAAAATCTTATAGATATAGTTAACACTTAACAAGGACAAAAAAATCGTGTTAAATTGCTATTTAAAACGTAAAAAACACAGCTACGCTGAGCTACGAGACGGTAAGAAACAGTAATTACAATAATAATTGAATAAAGATGACTGTAACAGAAAGATGAACAAAAAATCGCATATAACGGCAGGCATTCAAAAAATCCCAACAATTCTTTAAAGCAAAGGAGCAAAAAATTAATACCAAAATAAAAATACTCCTCAGACAACATTCTTCTCATCCAGAAATTCAAGGACAAACCATTAAGAAGATACTTCTTTTTCTTCCGACACTATTCTAAGGTGCAAATTTCTCGTTTTTTATGCTGTTACTTGTATTGTAAAACTGTTCTGCCCGCGGTTTACGAAAAAATCCAAAATTATTCCCAAGCATTCGGAGACGGTGGAAGTTCCGACGGCTGTGCCACAGAAGAGCTGAAACACATAACTAATTTCGAGCAAAAATCCTATTTGGTAAAAGAAGTTGTAAAAAAGAAAGTAATTAAGTAAATAAAAGTCCTGCGACAAGTTTAACGGCATTCAATAAAGAAGATGATTGCTATTACCTAGCAAAACTTTTGTAGGCAGCTGAATTCGGATTGATACAGAGGGGAACACCATATAAAGGCGTTCTCTCAGTTACATACTTATACATACGATCACGAAGGTCGAACATTGAAAGACGTGAAAGCTCTTTTTCCCATTTCGGATCAAATGGTTGTTCGTGCTAAAAAACACTCTTGCCAAGAAAATCAAGCAAAAAAAAGAATATACATCCTAAAAAAGATGACTAAAATTATAAAGGAACTGTTAAAAATGCTATGACATACCACAGGATCAAAATCCTGAGTGAAAACACGATTGTTGTTGGGAGTAGTGTAACAACATGAACACATACAAGAATGAAAACGCATACGCCCCTCCTCAAGATAGGGATGAGCCAAAGCATTTTCCACCGATATTCTTTGATCCTAAAATATCATTTCTTGCAAAAACTACTGTACCAAAACGATTCCAAAAAAAATAAACAAATAAAGAGCTGATTTTTGTTGATTTTTCCACAGTACCTTTTAAAGCAAGGTTTGTACAGAGGAGAAAGAACAACTTTTGGAAACCCAAAATGTCAAGTACCAAAAAATTATTTTAAAAACAATAATGTGTCCATGGTAAAAATAAAATACCAGATTTCAACAGATGTAAAAGTAAAAATAATGTAGCTGAGGGTCATGGCGAAGTACTTGGAAATGCGAGAAGTAGAAAAAAGCTAAATGTCAAAAACTTCCTAATTTTTGAAAAAAATTTGCAACTTTAACCCTCAACCAAAACTCAGCTCAAAACTGGAGTCAGGTCCTCAGAAAATTCCCCAAATCAACAAAACCTAAAAATGAATTATTACAACAGAACAAAATCGTAGAAAAACCCTTCAAAATTCCCTCTCAACAAAGGGCCAAACGGCAATTTGTGACTTATTAATTCTGCCGCAGATCAACAGAAGTTTGAGAAATTTAGTAACAAATTTTGCTTTGATCTAACACCCAATAAATATTCTGCTTGAAAATTTAAAAGTGTCTTCAAAAATTTTAACTAAAACAAAGTGACGATCCCAAGGTCAGTCAATAAAAAGAAGCTTCTTTGTACGACTTTAACCTGTCTTTAAATGTTTCGGTTCAAAACAGGTGTGAAAGTTAGTATCTCAAAAAATCTCTAGTATTAATGCCAAACGGTCGTGAAAAATAATTTGCAAATCCTGCGTTTTAAAAGCCAAATTGGGTCGCAAAACTACCACCAGACTTGGACTTTCCAAGTTAGAAAAGTAAATAAATAAACTTGAAGTAATGGTTACGCAACGAAAACTAACCGGATCAAACACTAAAAGTTGTGTCAAAAGATGTATTGCTTCATGACTAGCGTTATGTGACAAGTTGTACAAGCGAGTAATGTTAGGCTGCCTATAAGCTGACCGCAGAACGTGATTTCGTGCACCCTCACAAGCACCTTTCATCTCTTCAGGTAGAGGAGTACCCAATAGGTCGATTATAATGTTTAGCTAAAGAATATTTCAGGAAATTTTTATTGGGAAATAAAAGCAGCTCAATCTGAGCAGAAAGTGAATAATCGAAAAAAGGAGGAAAATATGTTACAATGATTCAACAGCAAAACTTTCACTAATGAAAACAAGTTGGTTTTGAAAAATAAATTGTTATTAAAAAATACAAAAGTACAACAATATGACACCGATACCTGTTCAATAGGTCCTTGGGCTTGAAACAGAATTTTTCGACCCAATAACTCTGCAAATATGCAGCCAACTGACCACACATCAACTGCTGTTGTGTACCTGCGCGCACCCATTAGCAACTCTGGGGCCCGATAGTACTGCGTCACTACCTAAAAAAAATGCAGCTTTATCCTTAAACAAATAATAAAACAAATAAAAGATTTCCTGCAAAAACTTACTTCATGAGTCATGTTCTGCTGGTCATGTGGGTCCCACATTCTGGCTAAACCAAAATCGCATATCTGGAAGGTAAGAAGATAAAAGAAGAAAGGAAGCTAATTAATGAGCTAAGTGAACCTATGCCAGTGGTAACCAGAAATAAAAGCCACTTCGAAAATTGACTCTTCGCTACCAATTAAACAATAAACTTTAGTGTGAGTTACAACGAGAGGCAGTGAAAAACTCAAAAAATACCTTTAATATACAATTGCTATTGACTAACAAGTTCCCAGGTTTGATGTCACGATGAAGGATATTCGCAGAATGCAAATATTTGAGCCCTATAATTTCCCTGTTAAAAAATGAAAGCAGAATAAGCGCAAATGTTACACACACGAAATTCTTCACACAAGTCTGATCGACTAGAGAGGAGTAGAAATGTACCTCTTAGTATCTGATATACGAACACCTTAACGTGGTCGGAAGTTAGCGGCTGTGGAGAAACAATGATCTTGTGAAGGTCGCTTTGCATCAATTCTGTCAGGACATACCTTAAATTGACGTTTATTAAAGACGCAAAATTAAGTTTGCCATGACAAGAGAATCGTTGCATTGAAAAAAGACGAGCGTTTTTTAAGTAATGAAGGTAATTAAGATTGATGCTTCCTAGAAAACTAGCTCAGACAGGAACAAAAGATTACAGAACTCTATCAGTAACTTATATTGAAGTGATAAAAGAATCAAAATGCACAGCTGTCAAATTATAAAAGACAACTGCTTCAATGAAACAGTAAAAAATATGTAAAAACTCACAATTCTTGAAAGAAGTGAGGGTTCGCCGGTTGTAATATGTCTAATAAGCAGAGGACCTAAAAACAATAAAGAGAATTTTCACTTAAATCAGTAGAATCAACACTAAAAGTTGTTTTAAAAAACCTTTAAAATCTAAAAGAACGGTAGCAAAAAATGAATAAATATCAGCGACAATTTGCAGCCATTAAAAACATTGATACTGCTAGCAAATCCACGTACATTCAGAAAGCTCATTTTTATATCAAATTTAATTCCTAAACCTTCAATGACAAACT